TGGCAAGGGCGGGAGGGGCGGGTTTGAGGTGGAGGAGCGGAAGCTGCAGGTGGGTGGTGCGGGTTTCGTCCGCTTAGTCACTAGGGCCGCCTAGGGGCGGCTTCCTGCCGGCCACCGGAGCTGTTTCTGGCTGTTCTGCTGCCGCCGATCAGGAAGCGCCTGAGGGGGGCCGACGCGCCGGCAGATATGCTTTCTCCCAACCAAGAAACGTAAACTACAATATATGCCATTAAATCGCTCATGTGTGCAATGACATCATGCAACACCCGATGTTTTCATCCCCCCCCAAAGGTGATGTCACTGGAGTCTGACGACGAGGAGGGCCCCCTGGGCGGCGGCGCCGCTGCCAGCGCCGAGGCCGCGCGGCGCGCGGCGGCGCGGCTCGGGGCGGCGCTCGCGCTGCGGGCGCTCGCGCCGGCGCTGGGCGCGGCTGAGGTGGCGGCCAGCCTGGACTTCCTTATGGGCCGGTGGGTTGCCGCCTTGTCAGTCGGTCGGCTTTGGGGGGCTGCTGGCCCGGCGATCACATGCACAGAATGTCAGCGCAGGAGTTCGACTTACCCGACCACCCCATCCACCCCCACATACTCAATCACACCGCCAGAAATACAAACGCCCAACCGCCAAGCAAAAATCCCATATCCTGTAACATTGACCCTCCACCCACCCCACACCCCCCTCTCTCACACCCAAACCCCTTCGATTTTGCAGCGGCCTGGCGGACCCCGATCCCGCGGTGCGCGAGGCCATGGTGGCGGCGGGCGTGGCTGTGGTGGACCTGCACGGCGCCGCCTACGCGGGCACGCTGATGCCGCTGTTCGAGGGTTATCTGGAGAAGAGGCGCCCCGCGGCCGCCCGTGGTGCTGCAGGCGTGGACGAGGTGGGTTTTTCTATTGGTGTTTTGGGTGCGGGGTGGGGGGGCGGGAGGAATGGGGCAATGGGAAAGGAATGGGTTGCAGGGAAGGGAGCGTTTGAGCGGGGTGGGAGGAAGGGGAGGTGTGGGCTGGTGCGGTCCTAGGTGCCGTCAGGGACATATGTGGGCCTTCTGGCGGATGCCTGGGCCCGGGCCTGAGCATGTTTGCTTTTAAACCCATCCCACAGCCCCACACTCTCAAAACCTAATGATCACACCCCCTTCAAACTTGCACATCCTCACCACAGGGCCGCTATGATCTCGTGCGCGAGGGGGTGGTGGTGCTGCTGGGCACGCTGGCCGCACACCTGGACCAGGGGGACACAGAGGTGGGTTTCGCCTTTTTTGGGGGTGGGGGGATGGGGTGAATGTTGGGGGCGTGGCGCCGCATGGTTCACGACTGGAGGGTGGAGCAAGCCGTCCCTCGGCGTTTATTCTGGAAGCTGTGTGTGTTGATGCGAGGGGCGCGGGCGTGGGTCTCGCCTGCCCCCTTTGCAGCAGGCGGGGCCATGGCTACCACCGCCCGCCACCGTCTCCCGGGGGCCGCTGCCTGCGCCTTGCGTGCCAGACCGGCCACTGCCAAAACCTCGCAACCTAAACCACAGCCACCACTCCCCCCCCCCACAAAACACATATCCACACCGGTACAAACACTCTCACACACACACACACCCACGCAGCGCGCCGCCATCGTGGAGACGCTGCTTGACGTGCTGTCCACCCCCTCAGAGGCGGTGCAGCGCGCGGTCAGCTCGCGCCTCGCGCCACTCATGCCGGGTGAGACGCGCGCACGCATGTACACAAAATCAGCTGTGCACGCATGCGATCACATGTACAGGGGAGCAGCGTCCTTGTGAAACGTTCAAGGCAGCCGCACACCATTCCGGCGGAATGGCCCCAGCCCCAGCGGAGCGAAACTGAGAATTGGACGTCTCAGCCGCCCTACTGTTTTTTCCCCAGCACCCTCTGCACCGTGACTGCCCCAACACAAATACACACACACACACACACACACACACACACACACACACACACACACACACAC